GTTCACCAGGATGTCTGAGGACAGGTGGTTCTTCCTCAGAGTCCTCAGGAAGAAGAGGAGCCTTCTTGACCAACTTGGAGCAGTTGGTTGTCCAGATGAGATCCTTGTGTTATTTTATTTAAATTCTGACATTTTTTATGCTGTACTTGCAAAGACAGGGTGCTTTTTTCTGTCTGGAAGCAGATATAGATAAAGATTTTACAATTTAATTAATTAATTAAAAAGCTTTGAGGGCACACTCCCCCTCCTGCACACACAGCTGAGCTGCAGTTGTCTTCTGCACAGTGAGGTTACCATGAAGTGGAACGGCTCTCCTAGATCGGCTCTGGTGGCACGCTTCCTTTGGGGGCACTGGAGTTAGGTCTGGTAGCTCCCCTTTTCTATCAAAAAACACTGACACATCCAACAAACGCAGCGTAACGTCAGTGTTACCAAGAAATTAATTAAATGGATTTGATACATCTTTGGTAGATGTAGCCAGTTCTGAAAAAGTCATTTCCTCTGGAGTGTTGTTCCCTCGGGCTGCTGCTGTTGCACAAGCTTTTGTAGGTGAGCACTTGGGTTGCGTTTGCTAAAAGTTGGATGAGCAGCTTTTTAGGTTCATATGAGCGCTCGTACAAACCAGAAGAGAAGAAACTTTTCCTACAATTTAGAAGATGAATCGTGTGTTTGCAAAACTTCCTTCCTGAGTCCTTCATACTGTGTGACCGTTATTATAAGTGATCCATTTCAATGCCATGAAGGGAGTGCCTGCTTTGACTGACAGGTTGTTTCCATCTATAGTTGTTAGCTGTCTTCTTGGACTCACCTCAGCTAATTGGAGTCACTGAAGTGGAACAGTTGACTCTGTTTGTGCTGTTGGTGCATTTTGGAGCATTTAATTCAGTTAACTGACAAATGGTTGATGTGCTGTGTCATAATGGACTTCAAGAGGCACAGACAGCTCCACTCCACTCATCATCACAAATGTAGAACAGGGTGAATCTGTCTCCACCTTCAGGTTTTTGGGCACCCACATCGCCGCTGATCTCACCTGGACCCACAGCACCATCGCCCTGGTAAAGAAAGCCCAGCAGTGGCTGCACTTCCTCCGTGTGCAGAAGCTGCTGCTGGCCTTCTACCACTCCTCAGTGGAGAGCATGCTCTCTTACTGTCTGGATGTTTGGTACGTAGAGGCCACGACTGAGAACAGGAA